GCTCCCGGGCGCTGCCGCCCGCCCTGGCCGCAGTCTGAGGCCACTGTCCGGCGCAGGGGACCCGGCACGGGGCTTTGCCCCCCCCGCCATGGGGAAGCGGAGCCCCGAGTCCTTCTCCCGACCCGACTTAAAATTGGACCCGAGGCGCTCCCGAGGGGGCAGCACTTTCAGGCTGCCCGACCTTGGGGGTGCGTGGGGGAGTCCCCGAGGACAGGAACGATCTGGTGCAGAGAGGCAGAGCGGTGACGCGAGGATTGTCTTGAAACTGCTAAAGAATTAGTGCCGGCATTCGTACACACTTATGGTTTATAGTGATGGGACTTGGATGCAGAAGACAAACAGAAATCATCAGTCTCCAACTGTAAAAGAAAACAAACTAGCCTCCGTTCTGTCTCTAACAGCATGCCATCTGAGAGTGCTGTCTGCAGTGCCTTTACAAGCAAGTTTATTTTCACTTCTTACTTAAGTGAGTCTGTCTCTGTCTGAACAATTGCCAAATCTGCTTAATATGCAGATTTATACACAGCAGTCACCGATCCAGTCAGAGAGGGAAGGACTGCTGGAGCCTCTCCTGCACCACTGGGAACACGAGCTGTGTTAAGAACATCTAGAGAGACAGATGAGTGTACCATGAGCTAGGAACTGTATTAAACTGATTGGAAAATGGGAAGTACTGTATGAGTACTATGCATTACTGCTCTGTGACTGGACTACGAAATCATTATGTTACTCGATCACGTGAAAAGCAGTGACAGCAGCCATCAGCATATCCTCCCCACTTTCCATCTCCAGGTTAAACGCAGCCAGCCCACTGTTGCCAAGTGATGCAGTGGGCAAAAATTGATCAAGCCTATGCAGAAAGTAGATAGCAAAAGCAGGACAACATAACTGTAGCATTACAACAAAGCAATACTTCTAGAAAGTGATTATGAAACAACAGCATTCTGCATCTTACACTGCATTTAAACCTGGAAACCTGCTGACCCAGCCGAGTAACTCAGAGAACCAACAAATTATCTGACAGGTGCCAGCTTCTGCCGAGCTAAAACTGCTCCAACAGCCTCATTCAGTGGTCCATCAGTTTCTTTAACAGCTAGGAGAGCTGCAGCCAAGGAGGCAAGCAGTCCAACAACCCACAGTCCTTACCAGGGGAACTGGTTCATAACATAAAACTCAAGAGGGAGATTATAAATGCAGTGGTGGGCAATGTTGCTGATTCACAACATACAGCACTCTTCCACTATCCAAAATGACATTAGATGTTCTTTATGCAGGAAAGGTGAGCTGTTAAGTTTGTGCTGTGGTTACACTAAGCAATGTAGTCAAGATGTATTTAATCCAGTCCCTTATGTTGAAATGTATGGAACAAGTAGAACACGATCCTATTCCAGTCCGTTCCTCAACACAAAATCTGAGGGTGGATGTTTAGGACCAGATTTTAGTACACTGTACTGAATGAGCAGTAAGAGGGAGATAATCTTCTGTGCATTTGTCCTGTGTTCCATGAGTTAAGATGATAAAGATGGAAATGGGTACAAGCCATGATAAAGAAATACAGCAACAGGGGAGCTTTACCTTAAGGAATGGATTAACTGAGAGTCTGCAGTTAAAAACTGTTTTAACTGAACTCAAGAACTGTTCTGTGCCCTACACAAAGCACCCACATAATATTTAAGCATTGCAGTGGTCTCACAAAAAATACTTGAACATAAAAAGAGGGAGACAGAGAGGAAGTTTCTCATCTTCAAGTGTTACAAGGAAAAATGAGGTCTCCAAATAAGAAAGGGAACAGAAAAGCAAGTGTGGAAAGAAAAGCTAACCATGTGTTATGCATAGCAAGTGCTACAGAAACAGATTGCTAACTGAGAAACTTGTGTTAAGCGACAAGTGGGATATAAATTGAGAGACAGACTTGATAAAACCAAGTATTGAGTAGGAGACTAAACTATGGGAGTAGAGTTTGTGAAAGGAATGTAGACAAAATGAAGCAGGAGGAGGGGTAGAAATATGGATAAGAGAGTATTGTGTCAACAGAAAGAAATATTGATGTTCTGGCTGACATAGCAATCTACTTGTACTGAGAGTAAAACTGCAAACAGATGTGAATCTTCAACAGTCCCTGGTCAAAATAATGTTGCCAGGACCAGAAAATATCTGAACAGTAAGAAATTATTTTAAGAGAGCCTGTGAACTAGTAATGGAAGATTCAGCTAATAAACATTAAGTGAGATTCCGACACCAGTTGTGCAGGAATGAAATCTGGAAATAATGCCTTACTTCTAGTATTGGCCAGCTGCAGAGTAGCTGAGTACACATTAGCAGAGTAGCAGTTTGGGACTCTTATTTTTTTAAGTCGCACAGGTTGGCTTATATAGTACACTGAACTGTCAGGGATCTGTCAGGGATTAATCTGATTTTAATAACTGGAGCTGAGTAAGAGGCACTAAAGAAAGTAAATGCAAAGGATTTAATGCAAAGTCCATGGGTGTAAATGGACATTTCCTCTGATGTTAATGGACTTTGGATCAGGCCCCATCTGTCCATGGAGCCTAAGGTCAGCTTTGGCATGCTGACGAATGTCTTTAGGAAGGCAATAACAAAAAAGTGTTGGTCTTTAGGTAAGCAGAGTAAAGGACTACCAAATGAGTTCACAGAAACTAACTGGAATTCAACCCACTGTGGAAAATGGGAAGGATGCTGGAGAAGCTGCACTATAGTCTTATTTCCAGCAAGGTTGAATAAGCCAAACAGCAGCATGTAGCAGTGTGCTGAGTGGAGCAGTGCTGACTAGTGCCAGATATGAAGAGAGGGCATTAGCAAAAAGAAAAGACCTGGGAAGGGTAAGAATGGGTGGAGTTAGAAATCAACCTGGGAGAGTGAGGACAAGAAGGAAAAAAGCCTCCAAAAAAACAACAAACCAAATGAGTAGGCGTATTTTTTAAATAGACATTCTCTGGTTTTCTGCTGTTAATTTGGGGTTTCACAAAGAACCAAGTAATTTTCTTCTCTATGCCTCTGCTGTCCAGTCTGTCTATTTAGTGTGAGTAACTCCACATAGGTCTTATCACTCACAAGGCATTTACAGGGCATAAAATTCAACCTGCCCTTCTCTTATGTGGGGTTCCTGGCACTACTTCAGCATAGCAACAGAAGAAAGTAAAAACCAAAACACCCAAACCTCTAGAATTGTGTGAAATACTGCATAATCTTAAAACTATTAATTTTTTGGAAGGTGAAAGTGAGAAAAAGTATTAAAATTCTTAACAATTATTTTGCCTCAGACTCTACAGAGAAAAACGGAAAGATGCATCATTTTCTCATGACTGACCACAGACTCACTGTCATGTACACAGAAAAATACCTTTATAGGTGATTATTCGTGTTGCCTGTACAATTCAAGATATCTCAACAATTTTTTACTTCAGCAATCATTGAGGATCAACCAGAAAAATCAGGTTCCTTTAGTGTGCCTGGTTGTTCTCGCTTCCTTGTCCCAAACTGAGATTCATTTGTTACCTCTGAAAAATCTTGATTCAAATGAGCCTAAAGTGGATTTGTAGGTGTAGCTGATAAAAATAAAAAGAAGTGTGCATAGAATAAAATTTGGAAAGAGAGGAGCGTTTTAGCAAGTGAGTATAAAATTTATATTTGAAATAAAAATTAGGGTTCTGGAGACAAGAAAACATCAAATTACTCTTTTAGTATGGACTATTTAGCCATCCATGTAGTTTAGCGCCTTGTCCTCAGTAGTGACCTATTCCAGGCAATAAATGTGAGGAAGGGGAAACAGGAGGGATTGAAAAGACAAGAGAAGGGAAAGCAATCAAAACAGGCCAATAAAGATATTCTTATAACTATAACTCAAGTGTATACTGCACACTACTCCATTAGAGCGGCCTTCCTCCTGACCCCAAGCTGATGATCAAAATATGCCCTGAAGCAAAAATATCGGTAGCCCTTGTAATTTTGATCCTAGCTTGTGTAGTGCATATGCTATTCTGTTTCATGT